AATATTATGATCCTTCATTTTTTTTTCAAATTATAAGCTGTATAATGTCTTTCTTAAATACGCAAGTACTTTCGACTCTATATTCAGTCATCTTCAGGCATGGAAATTGTTTTGTTTTAGGTAAAATTCAGGTAGCATTTGAAACGAAAAAATATAATGCGAATTGAAATATGATTCTTTTTTTCTTTTCTTTTTTTTCTAAATGTTTTAATAATAACGGATACAAACTTGTGCAGAGTGCAGTCGCAATGCTAAGGTTGAATTTCTTTAATTAAATTTTTTTATGTTAGTTTTTAATCAATATGGCAGTTTCAGAATTTTAAAATATAAGAATTTATCACTCAGTGTGTCAAGACGTAAATATATCAATATTAGAGTAATGTCTCAGTTGCTATCCTGAAAAAATTTATATATTTTCGGATCAGTAATTTTAAATCAAATATTTGATACACTTCAATTTATATTACAATGAATCATTTGCACAAAACATAAATTAAAAATAATTGATATTTATATATATATATATATATATATATATATATATTATGTGTGTGTTGTGTGTGAAGGGTTTATTAAAATATATATATATATATATATATATATATATATATATATATATATATATATATATATATATATATATATATATACAAATCTAAAAAAAAAAAAACAAAGATATATAATCCGGTGTTCTTATAGATATTTTTTATTTTACAAAATAATATACAAGAAATAAATTATATTTAAAAGTAATATTATAAATTAATTGATTTAAAATATATTTTTTAAATATCCTACACAGTTCTAACCATGTTTCAAAATGGAAATAAAAAGCCCCTGAATTTAATTTTGTAATTAAATTAAAAGACATTAGTTCCATTTCATCCTCAATCTTGAAAAAATTTGGGAGTTTTTTTTAAAAATATTGGGTTTTAAATACAAAGCTAAAACTCAATTCATGTTTCAAAAATTTACAGATAAATCTATTTTTCTAAACAGGGGTGTCTAGGTGTTCAATATGTCTATATTTTAATGTATCAGTCATTGTTATTTTTTTTTTTTATTTTACCCACTATTAAAAGTAAGAATATCGAAATTTAATTTAAATATAAATATATAAAAAATCAAATAATTTAATATATATATATATATATATATATATATATATATATATATATAATATTAATTTATATATTATACATATTTTTTATTGAAGCAAATAAAACTCAATATCAGAGATAGAATTAACATATTTGGTTGGATTGATAGATTTTTTGTGACGCTGGGTTTCACGCTTTTCATGATCGTCAAAAAAAATTTGAAACAAGGTAAAAGTCACAAAAACAAAGATTTATTATAATATATATATATATATATATATATATATATATATATATATATCATGCTGAAAATTTTAAAAAGAGTGATCAATGTAACGTAACAGAGCTATTACGTATATATTAATAAATATAGTTATTATCACGCAACGATAGTACAACCCAGAGTTTCATGCACAGCACAATCTTCAGCTATTGACTGGCCGTTACGTAATTTAAATTTTAATAAAAATATCTGGTTATCGTAATCTTGCATAATATACTAGAATTACAGTTTTCTTTTTATTTAAAAAAAATATATTTGACATGTAAATTAAAAGAGATTTGTAGATATATGTAAAAAAAATAATTTAAAGTTGTCGATATTAATTTTTATATTAAGCATCAAAAATTAAAAAAACAACTTTAAAATTTTCTAATTAAAAAAAACACTGCAATTATAAAGAAGGCACATTAGGATAGCTAAAGATGCCTTCCAAAAGCTAAAGAATATTTAGAGACAAAAAAACATTGATAGAAACAAAGAAAAGGGTACTGAACTGTTGATAACTGTCCTCGTATATGGCAGTGAATGCTGGACAATTTCCTCAAAGCTGAAGAGACATGAAGCAACAGAAATATATGATTTTACCGGAAGATGCTGAGGATTCCAATGGCCGAATATGTGAGCAACAGCGAGGTTTTATAGAAAACAGAAACAAGATGGATACTTATACTTAACATCAGGAAGAGAAAGTTAAAAATTCTCAGGTATAATGAGGAAGAAAGGCATGGAAAATATGATACTCGCAGGACAGATTGAGAGCAAATGGGCCAGAGGAAACAATGCATAACATATTTGACGAGTTTGAGTAAATAGATGCGGAACAGGGTTTAGGACAGATAGCAAAAACGCAACAATTATTATGAGCTACAAAGGAGAGGGAAATTGTGGCGAGCGATGATCTCCAACGTGATGAAGAGACACGGCACATAGATTATTATGAGCTACAAGGAGACAGATAGAAGAAAAAGGAACTTGGGTAAATGGTTAACAGAACAGGGTTAAGGAGAGATAGCAAAAACACAACAATTATTACGAGCTACAAAGGACAGGAAATTGTGGAGAGGCATGATCTCCAACGTAATGAATGGACACGGCACATAGAAGAAGGACATTACGCAAATAGATGACAGAACAGGTTTTAAGAGAGCTAGCAAAAACACAACAATTATTATGAGCTACAAAGTCAGGAAATTGTGGAGAGCTATGATCGCCAACGTGATGAAGAGACACGGCACATAGATTATTATGAGCTACAAAGGACATATAGAAGAAAAAAGAGCTTGGGTAAATGGTTAACAGAACATGGTTAAGGAGAGATAGCAAAAACGCAACAATTATTATGAGATACAAAGGACAGGAAATTGTGGAGAGAGATGATCGGCAACGCAATGAATGGACACGACACATAGAAGAAGGACATTCTGTAAATAGATGGCAAAAACAGGGTTTGAGAGAAATAACTAAAAGACACAATTTTTGAAGAGCTACAAAAGACAGGAGATTATGGAGAGCCATGGTTGTCTACATTCTGAGGGGACACGGACGTAATGAAAATGAAATAGCAAATTATTTTTGTAAATAAAAATTAGCGTGCGAATATAGAGTGATATCGGTTTCGCGAGATAATCCGTTCTTTTGCCACACGTTTTTACGCGTACGTTTGTTAAACTTTGCCAAATTCTGAGATGGTCACCCACAGAAATTATCTTTGAAGATTGCCTTCCATGACTGATTGTTTATTGTACCGAATATACAAGTTGGTTTATATCAATCATTTGAATTAATTTTCATCAATATTTACTGCCTTGTTTCTGACACATATACAATAGTGGGCCTCGAATACACTATTGCGAGCGTAACGTATTGCAATAATTTAATCTAATGCCCTTTGACCATGGTTACGCGAATGTCGGAACACTATGAAAAAGAACTGAGTGAAATATTCTTAATCCCAAAGGCTACTCACGTTCTTAGAAAATCTTCGACAGTTGGGGAGAAAACACAACAAAAGAAAAACGAAAAAAAGAAAGGGTGAGATAAGAGTGGCGATACCGTTGTGACTACTGGGCGTCATTACAGGCCTGCATTTTAGATAAAGGGTCCTTGTTGAAAAAGCGGGTTGTTGCTAACTCTGAGGGCATTTTCCGCGGATGGAACTTTTATTGGCCAACGACCGCGGGCCATTAAGTTGGAGGCACCCATATTGTCCGCTTTACAAAGAAAAGAGAGAGAGAGAAAAAAAAAAGGATACATAAATAAAAAATAAAATCAGAGGAGAAAAAGCAGAAAGGTTACCTTTCATTCACAGCTGGGAATTCCATAATGGCGAAAATTTCCACCTGCTCTGCCGCCAGACATAGGCGCACAGAATGACAAGCATCTTCCATCGTTCACTTAAATGTGAAGAGAGGAAGACATCGAATTAGGACTAAAGTGAAAAAATTATTTTTTGTCATTGAAAATTACACGGTTCTCTGAACGTTTCATTCTATTTTTTCCTCCCCCTTTCATTTACGCACACATATCTGTTTAGTTTAAGTTTTTCATTCTTTCCTTAAATTCTAAAATTTTCTTTTTCTCTTTCTTTCTGTCTTTTTCTCTTTCTTTCTTTCTTTTTCTTTTGTTTTTTTTTCTGTCTTTCTATTGTTTTTCTTTCTCTCTTTCTTTCTTTCTTTATGTTCGGCTTTCTTTCTTTCTTTCTTTCTTTCTTTCTTAATGTCTAGCTTGCTTTCTCCCCATTGTTATTCTACGTTTAACTTTCTTTCTTTCTTTCTTTCTTAATGTCTAGCTTGCTTTCTCCCCATTGTTATTCTACGTTTAACTTTCTTTCTTTCTTTCTTTCTTTCTTTCTTTCTTTCTTTCTTTCTTTCTTTCTTTCTTTCTTAATGTCTCGTTTTCTTTCTCCCCATTGTCATTCTACGTTTAACTTTCTTTCTTTCTTTTTTCTTTCTTTCTTTTTTCTTTCTTTCTTTTTTCTTTCTTTCTTTCTTTTTTCTTTCTTTCTTTCTTTCTTAATGTCTCGTTTTCTTTCTCCTCATTGTCATTCTACGTTTAACTTTCTTTCTTTCTTTTTTCTTTCTTTCTTTTTTCTTTCTTTCTTTCTTTCTGTTTCTTTCTTCGTCTCTTCTCTCACTTAGATGTCATTCTTTTTATTAATGTACACCTCTTTCTTTCTTTCTAGTTTTCTTTCTTTCTTTCTTTATTTTCGGTTTCTTTCTTTCTTAATTGTCTAGCTTGCTTTCTCCCTATTGTCATTCTATGTTTTCTTTCTTTCTTCTTTCTTTCTTTCTTTCTTTCTTTCTTTCTTTCTTTCTTTCTTTCTTAATGTCTAGCTTGCTTTCTCCCTATTGTCAAAAATATGATTTTTCTTTTTTTTCTTTCTTTTCTTTCTTTCTTTCTTTCTTTCTTAATGTCTAGCTTGCTTTCTCCCTATTGTCATTCCACGTTTTCTTTCTTTCCTTCTTTCTTTCTTTCTTCTTTATTTCTTTCTTTCTTTCTTTCTTTCTTAATTGTCTTTATCTCTCTTCATTCGTTCTTTCTAATTAATTATTTTTCTTTCTTTTATCGTCCATCTGTTTTGTCTTTGTATTATTCATCGTTTCTTATTTACTTTATCAATGAATAATTTTCTTTACAATGGTACACTTCATTCGTTTGTATTCTTTCTTTCTTTCTTTCTTTCTTTCTTTCTTCCAATTTCCTCCTTCCTTTTTCGTCTCTTCTCTCACTTAGATGTCATTCTATTTATAAATGTACACCTCTTTCTTTCTTTCTTTCTTTCCGGCTTTCTTTCTTTCTTTCATTCTTTCTTTCTATATTACTTTTTGTTATGTTTTTCTTTTCCCCTTCTTTCTATAAAAATATTTTGTTTTTCTTTCCTTCTTTTTAATCGTACACTTCTTTCTTTCTTTCTTTCTTTCTCTTTCTTTTTTCTTTCTTTCTTTCTTCCTTTCTTCCAGTTTCCTCTTTCCTTCCTCGTCTCTTCTCTCACTTAGATGTAATCTTTTTATAAAGGTACAACTCTTTCTTTATTTCTTCATTCTTTCTTTCTTTCTTTCTTTCTTTCTTTCTTTTTTTCTTTCTTTCTTTCTTTCTAGTTTGCATTTTTGTTGTCTTTTTTCTTCCTCCCTTCTTTTTCTTACATTATTTTGTTTTCTTTCCTTCTTTTTAATCATACACTTCTTTCTTTCTTTTTTCTTTCATTCTTTCTTCCTTGTTCGGTTTGTCTTTTTTCTTTTTCTTCCCGTTTTTCCGTTACTTTACTTTGTCTTTTCTTAAAGCTATACTTCTATCTTTCTTTTTCTTCCTCCCTTCTTTCTTTTTCTTCCTCCCTTCTTTCTTTGGTCCTTCCTTTCTTTCTGTTTTCGTTCTGTGTCACTTATTTTGTCCCTTTACCCCTTTTTCTTTCAGTCCGTGTTTTGCATCACAAAACCATGTTTCTTTTTTTTATCCATTTCTTTCATGATATTCAACGTTATATTTCTAAAGGAACACTTCCTCTCATTCGTCTGTTGTATTTCGATTTACTTGGCACACACGGGGAAGGGATTCGACTGATTCCGTCACCTGTACTGACCAAACACAGAATTCGGGAGCTCAAGATAAATAGAACAACATCAACAATACATTCAGATACCGGATGAGATGTTCCTATGGAAACTACCTTGGCAGACATCATCTTAACAACATAACATACACATTGATACAGTCTTGATGACAGACTCTGAATGAAAAGTACAGGAACTATTAGACAATTTAGCAAAACACTGCATGAAGAAAAGAATAACTATTAATGCATATTACAAATCGAAGATACGAAAATCAAACAAGTACAATAATTTAAATATCTGGTTTAGGTTTATTTTGTTTTACGGGATATTACGGTTTATTTTGTTTTACCTCGATGGATTATTTAATACCGACAAGATTTTTTCGGATGAATAGAATATCTATTTTATGTAATAAATCTGTTTGTAGATCAGGTTGCATTAATGTATTTTTGTAAATTGGGTTTTTGTAAAGAGTCTCGTCTGGTTTGGTTTATTTTGTTTTACGGCATATCAACATCAATGGGTAATTTAATGCTGATAAGATTTTTATTCGTATGAATAGAACATCTTTTTTTTCTTTTTTTTTTATAATAAATCTGTTTGTAGATCAGGATTCATTAATATATTTTTATAAAGAGGGTTTTTGTAAAGTGTCTAGTCTGGTTTGGTTTATTTTATTTTACGTTATATATAAACATCAATGTGTTATTTAATGCCGACAAGATTTTTAGGATTAATTCGTAGAATAGGATATCTATTCTTTGTAATAAATCAGTTTGTAGATCAAGTTTCATTGATATATATTTTTAAAGACTCTTTTCAATCGAGTGTCAAATCTATTGCAAGTAATATACTTCCTAAATGTATTTCTGCTGTTTTTACTATAAAAATCGATTTTTATACTTTTATAGTATTTTAGCCCCAGTTTGTGGGGGTGTAACAATTTGCCCATATTTAAGACTCTAACAGTTGCTACCACTTCTGGTCAGGGTGGACATGAGAACCCCAGCAATTAAGATGTGGTTCCACCGCTTGTCAGAACCTCCCGATGAGAGACCTTGCTGCTGGATGTAGTTTATCCAGGAGTATTAAATATGTAGTAAGTGCTGAATTATTGTGTGATATCTATCTATCTATCTATCTATCTATTTATCTATCTATCTATCTATCTATCTCAGTCTATTCAGATGTGTATATCCCAGTCTATTCATATTGTCATATAGGAAGAAAATGAGTAACTACTGACACCGAGGTTCGAGCGTGACACTCTGGGCTTATGAATACATTTTTCTTGCTATTATATAAATAACGGTGTCAGGCTACTGACTGAGGTGATTATTGGGTGGAACTATCCAGTCGAATTAGTGTGAATTATTGTGCGTCGATGATTTGGGTTTTGATTCAGTATTTACCAGACGTTAAACCGAGCCGCGCTACTAATAAGGTATTCACTGAAATGGTTAATTATCTTTGGTTGACTTTTACTTCTTTGTTTTTGTTAAGTATTTGTCGTATCCTTAAATAGGTGCTCGAGTGAAGGGATAGCAACAGGCGCGTAGATGAAAGAAGAGAGGTTTATTGTAAAAGAGAATACCATACTGAAAGACAGGGAATCGGGTGGCAGGCTAGTAATTTCCGAAGCAAGGATATCTACCAACCGCCCCACGCGGTCTGTTGTATTAAAGGCCGGATTTAATTTTGGGTATCCGAGCGAACTAGCAGAAAGTCTTTAGGAAGATAAGAACTAAACGGACACTAATACTAAAAATCAGAGAGACTTGGTACTCACGAGACAGAATGAAGGCAAGAGGGGCGGAGAAAAACAACACAACCTACCTAGAAAGCTTGAGTAAATAGATGCCAGAACAGGGTTCACCAGTCTGTTTCACACAGCAAGCGGCTCTTGGGATTCTTCTGTTTTTTCTTCTCTCTCTTATACAGTGTAACCCGGATATAAGAGATCCGGATATAAGAGAAACCCGGATATAGGAGTGATTTTTTCTGGTCCCAAATTAGAGCCTGTGTTAATGTATATAAAATAGACCAAACCCGGATATAAGAGAAACCCGGATATAAGAGACTTCTTCTCCGGTCCCGACAACTCTCTTATATCCGGGTTACACTGTAGCTGAACTCCCTGTTTAAAAATGAAATACGAAAGGAATGTGTATTGTTAGCCCCTGTGTATGTGACATGGCAGCTTTTTGCTGTAAAGGATATGAAGAGGCGAAAGTGAGGAATGAATCTTGTCCGAATATTTGTAATCGAAAAAGATATAGCTTTTCAACGTTTCGTCTCTGGGATTTGGATCTATCTATCGATCGATCGATCGATCTATTCACTATCTATCTATATATCTATCTCAGTTTGTAAATTATCTATCTGATAATTCGTTACCTATCTGAATATCTATCTATCTATCTATCTATCTATCTATCTATCTATCTATCTATCTATCTATCTATCTATCTATTCCATCTATCTTCTATCTATCTATCTATCTATCTATTCATTATCTATCTATCTATTTCTATTTATCTATCCATCTATCTATCTATCTAAATCTTTAATTTTTATCTGATTAAAATTTATCTATCAATTATGTATCTTCTATTTTACTATTTATTCATCTATCAAGTTTGTAAATTATCTATCCATAATTTTATCTATCTATCTATCTATCGTAAATATCTATCTATCAGGTTAATTCATTATCGTAAAATCTTTGAATCTATTTAAAATCAATTTGTTTCATTTATAATCTATCTATCTATCTATCTCAGTTTGTTCAGTGATGAAAAGGGTTGGTAGGTTACACCCAAATTCATTCCAAATTAAGTAAAGTTACTTATCGTAAATATTAATTCACCTTAAGAAATTATAAAATTTTAATCAAAATTTATTTGTTTTTGTTAAATTTTCATATTTAATTATGAAATTTAAAAAAATTCGTGGACGCAATAACTCAATCCTCAGAATGAATTTCACATAAAGTTATTTCAAGGGAATAATTGGAATTTACAATTTTAAAAAATAATTTAATTTTAAAAAAAATCTGGTTTTGGTTTGATTATCGGGGTGAGCGCGAATGCAGACCCCACACTTAGAGATTGCGTACTCGAGTCATCCACATTTGAGGCGAACGCAAAGGTCAACCCATCCGTAGTGTAATGGAAGGGCATCGCTCTGGGAGAATCTCCTTGAGAATTTTACTAAACACTAGACTACCCGTGACCCGTTGGGTCACTGACAGCTTAGATTATAAAATATTGAAGTTGATTTCAACATTAAAATATTGACTGTCTGAATAAAAGTTGAAATTAAAAAATGCTTTTTTTTTTATATAAACCAATTGTATTTTTAAATCTGATTCATTTAAAATATTTTTTAAATAACTTTAACTTAAAAAGAATTTTTTAATGTGCCAAAAAATATTTTAAAATCACATTCACGTGAATATTTTTTTTTAAATATGGCAAAACATTTTTTTAAATATTTAAAATATTGTTTCTTTAAAGAAAGCCGAAATATAAATAAGCACGCATGAAATCTCAGAGATAGAAAGATAGAAGTGAAATTTTTTTCAATTGAAAAGAGATTTGAAAAAAGAGAGAGAGAGAGTTGGAAAAAGAGCTGCAGCGAAAAGAGAGTGAAAAGAGAGAGTTAGAAAAAGAGAGCAGTGAAAACATTTTTGAAAAAGAGAGAGAGAGTTGGAAAAGTGTGATCGTGAAAACAGTGAAAAAGAAAGAATAGAGAGTTGGAAAAAGAGACGCGGTGAAAATTAAGATTGAAAATAGATCAGTTGGAAAATTTTGGAATGGTGAAAAGAGACAAAAAAAGAGACTAGTTTAAAAATTATAGTGGCAATTTTCTCTTTTAGACATGAAAAGAGAGAGAGAGTTGGAAAAAAAGGCGGTGAAAAGAGATGAAAAAATTTCTAGAAAGTTTTTTTTTAGAGCTTTAAAAAAGAGTGGTGATTGAAGAGAAAGTTGTAAAAAAAAAAGGAAATAAAAAGACATGGAAGAGAGAGATAAATAGTTTAAATGAAAATTACATTTTTTCTCCCTAAACTTACTTTTTTATAAATTTACATCTTTATTTTTCCTTACTTTAAATAACTTTTGTCTTTATGGCAAACACACAATCAAGTAAGCAAACAAAGTACACATAGTTTTAGTATTATAAAGATGAATTCTATTTATTTTGTATATGGTTTCAGCATTGTTTCATACAATTACCATTTTCCATAACCATATTTAAATTTGTTTGGCGTGTATGGAGCACCGAGCGAACTCCCTACTTTACCGTAATTGATCAAGCGAAAAACTTCTGAAGTTTAAAAATTAAGGTTTAGGTTGGATTTTTACTTTCGGGGAATGGAGCACTTTCGAGCTCACTACTGGAATTTTAATTGATCAAGCGAAAAACTACTTCGAAGATCCCGATTTAAGCGTAGGTTTGATGTGGCACAAGGTCGCGTTTATGGAGCACTCAGCGAGCTCACTACTTAAGCGTAACTGATCAAGCGAAAAACTACTTCGAAGATCCCGATTTAAGCGTAGATTACATGTGGCACAAGTCTGCTTTAATGGAGCACCAAATGACAATCGAAATCAATACTCAGTAATAATTGTTCTCGCGAGACTAGTTTGCTAAACATTATTTACTCTGTCTCCCCACTAAGACGAGATGTGACATAAGGACTTTTTTCAAGGTGGAGACCCGAGCGTGTACAGCCGGTCCAGGAAAATTGCCGGCAACCCACGCAACCGTCTGTCGCGCTGGACTCGTTGCGAGCCCCGATTCTTCTCTCTGGTGCAATGAGAGTGTGCGGCCTCGGACAGTTGTTCCCCAGGTCTGGGCACCTCCCAGTATAATTTTTCTCATTTGCGGCTTTGTCCTTTGACAGAGTGAAATTATCCTACTAACCTTCCTCAGAAGTAACAGCAATTCACAGTGAATACATAAAAGGAATCTGTGAAGAAAGCAACGGGAAACCACTCCACTAACTTTCGCAAGAGCTCATGGCAATTCACAGATAATAAATAACAGGAATCTGTAAAAAGGCAACGGAAACCATTCACTGTCTTTCCCAAAAAAAACTTGGCAATTCTCAGATAATAAAGAAAAGGAATCTTTGGAGAAGGCAACAGGAAATTTTCCACTGTCTTTCCCAAGAAGTCATGGCATTTCACAGATAAAAAGAAAAGGTATCTGTAGAGAAGGCAACGGAAACCCTCCATATGTCTTTCCCAAGAAGTCATGGCAATTCTCAAATAATAAAGAAAAGGAATCTGTAGAAGAAGGCAACGAAACCATTAATGAAAATTTCTTTCCAAGAAGTCATGACAATTTACAGATAATAAAAAAAGGAATCTTTTTGAGAAGGCAACGGAAACTACTCCAATGTCTTTCCCAATAAGTCATGGCAATTCACAGATAGTAAAGAAAATGAATATCTGTGACATTTTTTAATTTACCTATAGCAAACTTCATCCGAATATTTATGGAGTTTGCTGCCTGTTGTTATTTCTTGAATTCTCATTTTGTTGTCTTTTCATCAGTCTGAACTTTTTATAGTTTATTTATATGGTCTGCAAGTTAGGCGTATTATTTAATTCACATGCGGAAAGCGTTATTTGCTCGTACAATAAAACATAACGATATACTAAGGTAATAATGAATAAATATAGTCTCCAATTAAATAAGATGTCGCAATTTAACATTAAACCTTGTAATGAACTTAATTTAAATCTTTTCTCGAACGCCATTCGTTCATGTTTCTATTTAAGGAAAGGTTGACGGTCTGTATGTTAAACTGAACCAATCAAATCATGTATTTAATCGCTTTGCGTGGATGACAATAAAACGTCTGCATTTGCAATAGTCAACCAATCAGGTAGTTATAAAACCAAAAAAGAAATCGCTATATGACAAACTTTCTGACAAAAAAAAATTATCTTGAGTTAAGAGGAACAACGTATTTAAAAATCGGCAACACGAGATCTCTTTTAAAGGGAATGACATAAAGATGTTTCTTCGTCTTTTCATTTGTCTTCAACGTTACGTTATATTTGAAATGTGTTTTCAATTTCTTGTTTTTTTTTAACTTATTTTTTTTTTGATTAAAAAACACAATAAGGTATTATAAAACCCTTTGCTACCGGGCTTTTTTCCTATGTCTTCTATGTATGGAAATGTCTTGTACCTTTTTTTATTTTATTTTATTATTGTTGCTGATGTTTTTTTTGTTTTTTTTTTTATAACCCAACTTTCCCTCTGTTTTCTCATTCATTGTTGTACTTTTTGAAATCCAAAATCAGGCAGAGATTTTCATAAAATTTAAAGGTAATTTTACCAGTCAGAAGAAGAATAGGTTATATACAATCCATGGAAGAAGACCTTTAGGAGAGAGAGAGAGAGAGAATGATTTGATGGTGTACTATATTTATCTATCTATCAAAAATATATATATATATATATATATATATATATATATATATATATATGTGTGTGTGTGTAAAAATTTTAAGATTTGAACGATGAAAATTGAAGGTATATCTAACATATTATGATAGACACAGTGCTATAAAGAATAAGTCGACAATCTGTTCATATATATATATATATATATATATATATATAAACAGGAACAGATTTAGATATACAGATTAAACCGATAGAATGAGAGAAAGACGTTAAAATAAGAGTTTCAAACGAGGAAAGGAAAACAAACCGATAAAAGTAACTTAAATATAAACCAAATTTTTCGAACATATACAGGGTGTCCATAAAGTTCGTGTGCACTTTAAAAATTTATAACTTTATTTGTATTTGCGATAGAAATAATTTGTAAAAAGGATTAGAAAGAAGTAAATCTATATTTTTTAAAGGTTTTATTGAAATTTTATTTAAGTTTCCACATGTCCTCCATCATTAGCAATACAAAGGGTAATACGATTTTGCAGTTCACGGAAAACATTTGCCAACTGATTTACAGTAATGCCTGAAATCACATTAGTTATTTTAGCTATACTTAAAACTAGGTACATTAAACTTTATAACATTTTTTTACAGATTATTTCTATCGCAAATACAAATAAAGTTATAATTTTTAAAGTGCACACGAACTTTATGGACACCCTGTATATATAAAATTTGAAAATATATATATCCGACAGGAATGAACGTGTATATATAAACAAATAAGGCAAAATTAAATATTTGTATGGTTAAAAAATTTATTTTAAACCATAAAAATGTCTTAAAATAATTGTTTGATTAAATCCATTTCATTTTTTGATTATACGTTTGTTTTGTTTGGATTAAATGATATTCATCGAGAATATATAAATATATATACGACATATTTAAAAAAATGGAATAATTGTATTTAATTTAAATTTGGAGCCGGCTAAGTCCGTATCGCTATATCTTTGTAAAAAATCATATAAAAATCACGTCAATATTTATTAAAAAGTTAAAAAAAATTTAAATATTAAAGGTTTCGATTCCTGTCCAATTTATATTCGTATATATATATATATATCTTATGAAAATTTCTCCAGGCATTCCAGCCGGTAAAAGAAAAATATAAAAATATCTTAAAAATAACTATTTGTTTCAACAATATTTCAAATATATATTAAGTTAATTTTGGAATTTAGGAAAATTTAATAGATTTTTTCTTTTATTTTTGCTTGGGAA